TGAAAACTGCTATTTTATAAACAATATTTTTTTTTTAATTATGAATAGGTCAAATGTAAATTCACAATCACAATTGGTATTGTAGAGCATAAATCAACAAAATGGGAAATGATTAATTTCCTCAAGGTTAAGGGATGTCATAATAAATTAAGCAAGTATTAACTTTGATTATATGAATTTCAGGAGTTAAACTATTAAATTTTATATTTCAGGAGTTAAATGTTTCTACCATAATATTTCAAGAAGAAAAACTGTATTTTGCCCTAAAAATAAACATATAAATTTTGTGAGTTATGATTTGTTTTTGTTCTTATCGTCTTTTAAACAAAAATTATCCGTCTATATAATTTGATATTTGGGGAGGGAGTCGATAGCATTTATAATGGTATCTACTACTGTATGGCTGTCCTACTATTTTTTTATTTTAGCATTGATTATTGATTTTCGTTGTGTATAAAACAAAAACTTACAGTCGTGATACTTTTCTACCGCTGTCCATAGGAGTCAATGTTAATCTTCTGCCATTTCTACTTTTTAATTTTTTTAAAGACTTGATTGAAGCCATCTTTGACCGTTGGACATCCACGTTGATTTGATTGAAACGCGGCGACCATAGTCAATTTAATGAATACTTTACAATTATATAAATTAATTGTAATCAACTTTATTTAAACATACATGTGTCGCAAATATATTTACACATATTTGTAGAATAAATTTTCTTATGAAATCTAAATAATTATACATACCCGACTTTTGTACATAATGAAAAACTTGTGAATTTTACTACACCATAACATGATGAATAACAACAATACCTTAATATAATCAGGAGAAGAATGGAAAAGAACTGCCTCTGGGTGATTAAAGAGACAAAGGTGGGAAGGTCGAAAACTTTATGTTCTAACAGTCCAACAGGTGATCTCTTCTTCTAGTAGTATTTTAAACCTTTTTCGAAGTGATAGGAGATACAAAATAAAATAAAATACAGAAAGTATATATAAATGAGCTGTATCTGAGACAATGCTTACATCAAAGTTTTAGGACTCACAAAAATTCCCAAGTGGTAGTAAAAATTCCCAGATGAGCTCTATCTATTCAAATCACTCTTATCCATTTGCTGAAAAATTGATGGTTCTGTTCCATCATTCAACTATAGGGGCTACTTTTCTTCTGAAGTGCATTATTCTGTTAATCCATCAAATTATCGAAAAAAATTGGTTACAAAATGCTTCTTTTTGGTATTTCTGCTTTTAGAAGAGAGAAGAATGTTAAAGATGGGTTTAAATTTCTATCCCAAATTTCGGATTTTTTTTCTCAGATAAGTACTGATTCAAGGCCACTTATGTACAAATGCACATGCAAATGAATCCCCATCTTAGCTTGGATATCACCGTATACCATGTTATTTAATTAGGTTTAAATAAAGATGAATGATTGACTAATGAAAATCGAAAGTCACTCTTCAAATTTGTTAAAATAATAACTCAAAACACACGCAAGGATGTCATTTAGCTAAGTAAGAATTAGTCTTCCTCGGTCGTCTTCTATGGCAATCAATGGAAAGGGACGTACATGTGAAAGAATATACTCCTCTATCAGCGAAACTGATAGGTGATCAACTTGGATTAAATATGACTAGCTCCTCGATTATTTTGTTTTAGTCGTTGAAAAAGGAACAATTTACTATTTCTATTCTAATTTTCTTTCAAATCAAGAGCTTAACTACATTCGTCAAACAATCTGTTTGACTTCAGCTCCGTCTAGATTTCTATAAACAGTAGAGCGTGTACCTTGGTCAACATCTAAGAACTTGTCTCCCCTTCCCACTGGCCACGAGAAGACAGACGTCAAGCTGGAGCGTGGAACACATTTTTGCATATATCTCATACTTAATCTATAGAGAGATCTAAAGAGAGGAGACTTTGTATGTTAAGAATTGATGCTGTCACTGTCTTTTCCATTTGATTTTCTTGAAAGCAGACTAAATTCCATTTTCCCAAAGACAAAAAATCAATTATATCAAAAAGTTTGTGACATATATACATCGAGCAATATGATGGATTAAAAATCAACTGAAGACTGAAGTGATAAAAATATTTATTAATGGCATTGATTCAACCCGTAGCTGCATAACATTTATTAACACGCGGATTTAGATAAAATTTCAGAAAACGGACAATGGTAGAAGCGTAATATATGTGAACAGGTTGATGAACAAAATTATCATCCATCTATCTTTTACAACTCTATATTATACCTATGATCTGTAATTTTTTAAGAGCGTTTGCATGCAAAATTGGCCAAACAGATCCATTAAAATAAGAATGATCTAAACTCAACTAAAAGATGTACGAAACTGAATTAATAAATCAATAAGAAAGCTAAGAGCATTATACAATGAAACCAAAAAACTTAAGTAAATCTTTACAAAAACTCAAAATAAATCAATTTTCTTGCACTAAATAATCTTGGCTGTTAGAATGTCTCTAACTCAAATCCTATGACAGTTGGAATTTGTTCAGGATTTTGATTTTTGTCAAAAGTGAGATCTTCAAGCACTGGATGATGTCTATGATTTTTCAAGAAACTTTTCTTTATTAAAGCCAAATATATTCAAAGCAGTGTGTTGAATAATTAAACTTAATTTAGCCCATATAATATTAGACTTAGTTTTTGGGTCTTACATAAATGAGTTACACTAGAGTCCATGAGCTTAAATTCTAGAAACTTTTATCTAAAATAATCTTAAGAAAATATTTAGATATTTTAGAAAGAAGATAAATATTTTAGTAAGAGAACTCTAAAGAGGAAATTGTAGTCATATGATGAAAATGTGTTGGTACAATTCTAGCAATTTATCGTAGATTTGCCACTAGTATAAATAGGGTGGGTCTTTCTATTTTGTCAAGCCAAAAAAAAGAATCAATAAAAAGTCATCTTATGTATTACATTCCTTTTCTAAAAATTCTCTTCTCTCAAATATTTCATAACCTATAAAAACACCCACTTCCAACATAGTGGTCCACAGACTGGTGTTAGTTTTCCTCATAGAAAAGAGAATTATCTCCTTATTCTTGGCTAAACGTCAGGTGTTCACAATAGTCAAAGAAGAGAACAACAACTAATTTTTCGATGATCACTTAGTGAATAGTCGACTGAGTGGAAAGAACAATACTATAAATGGGCGACGCAGGTCAATCCTACCCTAACCCACAAAGCTTCAGTACCGTCCCTATGGCGACAATTTTATGGTACGCCTCCCACAGGACTCACAACCTGGGCATTTTGCACTTGGGAATTCCTAGAAAGGATAATTAAAGATATGTGCTAACTAATTAAATAGTGTTTGGTTCAAATTTACACGTGATTATTTTCCTTTAATTATTGACCTTCATAGCTTAATTACACCACCACAGCAAAAGTGAGAGAGAAAGCAAACACCTGAGTGAGACAACCACAATGAATTAAATTATCCCCATTGATGATAAACCTCGATAGAGAAAAATATAAATATGAAAAAATCTTCTTAAATTTTTAATTATGAAAAATTTTTTTATGAATTTTTATATAATGATGGTTTGTTTAAAAATATTGGTAAAAAGAATAAATATTTTTATTATTTTTTACTTTTTATTCGTGCACAAAAGCTATTTTTTCATTTTTTCCCCATATTAAAACAAATAATCTGAAGTGTTAAACACAAAAAAAATCAATAAACTAGCTCTTTTTAGGTGAATTACTTTATTTTATTTATCTTATGATTTTTTTTAGGCAAAAACTGTAGGATTCATTAAAGCTTAAGTTTAAGGAAAGAGATACACACACAGTTCCAAATTGAGAATGAAGAAAACTACAAAGAGAAACCAAACCCCCACCCCCCCACCCCCCACCAAAAAAAAAAAAAAAAAGAACTAGGCAAAATGAGGAAACAAACTGCACACCCTAACACTAGACCAACAAACTAACACAAGGTTTGGAAGATGCGATGTTTATCAAGATCTTCAGTTGAGATGGGACATATACGGGAGTGGAATTAGCATATTTCATGGCGGCCACCCCCTAAAAAAAAAAAAAAAAAACTAATTTTTGTGATTATATTAAACAAGCTTTGAACTTTCGACTAATAGTATTTACTGCTCCTGCCGAAAAATTGATTTGTAATAATCTCAAAACCCTTTTAAAATCCACTTGACATTACAAAAACTCACAACAATTCAGGTTTTATTAGAGAATTTATTAGCAGTTTTCTAAACTTTTCCTTTCCATGGGAAATTAATTTGAACTTCTCTAATCTCTATAACAATTGGAATAGATTTTAATATGCAAATACGAGATTAATAACTAACTTCTCGAACATTAAGTAAACATTAAACATCAGACAGTTATTAAAACGCCATCTGAGGCTAAATCTTTTGTTGGATGTAGTACTTCATAAAAAAGAAACAAAAACATGTACTAGATTAAAATATAAAGACAACTTTACACATAATTCTTGACACTTCCGAACCATGCATCCAATTTGAGGGCAGAAGTAGGTCACTATGAGAACTAGGGTTTACTACTAGAGCAACTACAAGTTGAACCTGCGAAGGTCACTAGTTGCGTCACTGCAGAAGCCAAATGGGCTTATAGGCTCTTGCCACCAGACCTGCGAGTAGGGCAACATGTAATCATAATGAATAGTCATCTGCTGCATAAAATCAATCGTATCTTCGAGATTTTGCGCAAGCAACTTTTCGATTGATGCTAGTTGTTCCGCGAAAGTAGCATATTCTCCAAGTGCATGTGCGCCAAGATTTGCTGTATCTTTGGATTCTCGTTAGTCCCAGTAGGAGATGAGCAAGGAACGGGAGAAAGTTGGGATAAACATTATCACGAGGCGAGTCGTTCACTTGAGGTAAGTTAATCTGGTAATTTGCCACTGCCTTGCATTCGTCCAGTTGAGCCTTCGGCTTATGTTGTAGTTTCTTCAGACACTGTGCCAATGGTTCTTTATTTCATTGTCTGTTCTCCCTGGGAGAAACCGCTGCAATTGCAGACCATCTGAAACAAAAGAGAAAAGAAAGTAGAACAATCTCTCCTATTAGTTCCAACAGATATATTTAAGTACAGAAAATTTATACTTGGTTTTGACAACTTATTAAAGTGTTCGCACATGGCTCCTCTATCTCTTGTTTTTTCATGGTATGCAGCCTGAACTGGCATACTATTTAATTGTATTACTCTAATGTCTAGCAACTTAATGTGTCCTTAGTTTTGTGTTGTTAAATTCAACCAATACTAAGTACAGAAGTAGCTTCTCGAGGTCTTGATGCTGTATGTTTTATTTCACATGTAATTTCAAAAATTAATTAAAACTTTCATCAGTAATTGCTACAAGAATCTGGGTATGGTTAAACTTATAGATGGGTAAATTGCTTACTTATTTCCAAGCTTTTCATGCATTTTCAGTATGGTTTCTTCTTCATCTCTAGTGAAGTTCCCCCGCTTGATATTCGGCTTAAGATAATTCACCCATCGAAGCCTGCAACTCTTCCCGGACCTCCTCAGATCTGAAAAATAAGAAAATTAAGAAAGAAATTACGCCACATCAAATTAACTTAAACGCTGGTGCAGAGATGGAAGGGTTTTGATCATTAATTGGCATCAGCCATATTGGGTTTGTTGGATGTTACCTGCAAACTTGGGCATCTCACTCCAGTTCCAAATGCCATGTCTCTTGATGTAGTTTATCAACTTCTGATCTTCGTCAGGGCTCCAAGTGCCTTTCTTCAAACCAGTCTGACTGCAGAACCGAGCCCTCACCATCTCTGCCAGATGAGTCTTCAAGCTAGTCAACTGGATTCGCTTCCAAACTTAGCTAGCTTATATCGAGAGATTTAGTGCCGAACTTCTTATTCATTAAGCCATATATATTTAACTTGTCGAAAGGACGACGCAATTTCTTTCAAAGGCAGAGGCCAAGTAATTTCAAGGATGGGACCCTCTCACAACATGCAATTATATGTTTATTACTTGTATATATCTGTCCCATCACAAACGAGAAACTTGTCACCGTCCTTCTCGCCCACTGCGCATGAAAGAAGTGAACCAATTAATAGGAGCCAAGTGTCCGTTAGTACAAAATTTTCTAGTTCACCCCCTATATAAATTATTTAATTTATTTTTTAACTTAGGAGCCTTCTGTTCTCTTGAAAACGTAGTTAATAAGTAAATTTAGGACTTTTCAATTCTCAACAGAGTGAAATATAGGGTTTTATTTGGATGAGTTTTTTATTTTTTTAAAAAATTTTTTAGTTAAAAAGGTTTCAGTAAAAAAGTTTGTTTGTGTAATATTAGCAAAAAAAATTAAAAATACTAAAATTTTTTTTTTGCTCTTCTTGAAAAGTTAACAGGACCACCTTCTGGAACTCTCTTATAATAAAAGAGAGAGAAAATAGTTTATAAATTCGAAATAATATTTTTGAATAATAATATCCCTTACATGTAAAAAAAATACATATAATTAATCATTTATGATATTTGCCTCCAAAAAATTAAAAAATAATAAAATACTTCTGCTTCTTTGAAATCACTTTTAAAAAAACATTTCTAGAAAGAGTTATCAAAACAGGCCCCAATGTATAAGATATTGCAGCTTTGTTTACCCTTAAGAGGCTAGTTTGGGAATTTTACTTGGCTTGGCATCTATGCACGGATAAAACCTGGGAACGGTACCAATAATAAATCAAATGTATTTAAAGGTTTTAGGGGAGAAAAAGAATTTGCGACCTATTTATTTATTAAGGAAATCAGTTTCCACGTGAGTTAGACTTTTGCAAACCTGGCCCCATATCCTTAGACTTTGCAAACGCCCAAACGCCATTGGGTTTTGGCCTTACTTGGTTTTTGGATTGTACGTACTTTAAAAAATAAGAAAAATAAAAATTAGTTTTTTTACACTTTAAATAAGTAATATAAAAATATTTTAAATATAATTTAGTTATTTAAAAATTCCCAAACCTACTTCACCATTTTATATAACCAAATGATAAAATTTACCTACATTCATTTACTTCAATGTTAGATATTTATTATTCAAAAATTTTGATAAATATTTCTTAATGCATCAATCACTAGTATTAAATTTTTAATTTTTTACTGTTACAGATTTCATCATTTGATGACTGCTACTCGTGCTATCACAGCAGTCATTCGGTCAAATTTTATATCGTGTTATCCTAGATGAAGAACAGTTTCTCGTGATTTGTGATTTGATGAATTCTGAGTTCGTATTTCAATGCAGTATGGTAAAATATTTTTTTATCTGTAATAATAATTGAACTTTTATTAACTGTTTGTTTCTATATTTATGTATAAATATTGTATATGGGATCCACGAGATGAGCTACCCATTAGACGGGTATTAAGTTCTCGTGGCTCTCATAGCTCCTTTGATATGTTTCGGGATACCCGAATTAGAGGCAAACCGAATTGGATCCCGCATTTTGTGTAGAATGAGCTTCAAATTTATTAGAAATGAGAGAAATTTAATAACATAAGCTTTCAGAATAAAGGAAATCGTTGTTCGAAAAAAATCGGTTTTCTCCACACAAGAAACTCTACTCCTCCACATGAGGATGCTATGAGGATGGTAAGTTTTATTAGCTTAAAAGACTTATTATTATCTTATAGTTATAAATAATTATAAATTTTTATTATGTATTGCAGGAAAGAGAGACTGGAAGACTCCTAATTTTTTTGAAATTTTTAAACATACTTATGTCAGGAAGAAAGATGGTGCGGAGGTCTGGGTGGACCAGCAATCGGAAAATATTTATATAAGTAAATTTTATTTAATTTAGTAAATATTTATATTATTTATTAACTTTTTATAATTAACATATTTAATTATTAAACTTATTCTATGATATATTCGTGTATGTAGACTGACTTCCAAATTGCCCGATTTTCCTAGTTGGCATTTGAGTAGACGTCTACCTTAGAGTCTCAGCGAATGTCAGACACTGAGCTTTGAGAGAGATGCGATAAGGGGAGAGCTTTCGACCGTATATATGAACTTGGAAGGCAGAGTTCTTCCCAGTCAGTCTACTATCCTCTATCCGATAGTGCGGATCAATTTTCAATGAGATCGGAAGTGCAGAATCTCCGTCAAGAGAATAAGGAGTTTCAGAAAAAAGTGGGGAGTGTAAAGGTTGTCCTTCATAATTTGTATAAAATCATTGAAGAGATGAAGGGCACACACCCGGTCAGTCATGCCATACTGCGCCTACTCACGATTCTAATTCTTCATCTTAATCGGGCGATGGTGACTCTTGAGACTGATTTTTTTTAGAGACATTGTTTTATATTTTTAGCGACATTATTTTTATATTTGTAATGAGATATTTAAATATTATTTATGCATATATTATTTTAATTTTATGTAAGTGCATATCTTAAATGAATTAATTTACTTTGCATTAATTAAATTTTTAATAATCAATAATAATACATAATTAATTACTAAAAAAATAATAATAATAATTATTAATTTAATTTTGTGGGTATGTTTAATAAATTAAAATTATAATATATATTATAAAAAAATATACATTAATTTTATAATAAAATTTTAATTAATTGTATTAGTATTAATTTAATTATTAATAACAAATAATTGAATAAATTAAAATATAAAAAAAATTGATTTTTCCAACGCAACAAATCGTTGGAAATTGCGTGAAAAAATTAATATTAAAAAAATAATTCAATCAGAATTTCCGACGCATGTAGTGCATCGCAATTTCCAAAGCAATTATCTGCATTAGAAATTTCCAACGCAATTCTATGTGTTGGAAATTCCAATGCAAGTTATGCATCAAAAAATTTCCGATGCAGTATTTCGTCGAAAATTTCGAACGCATATTCTTTTGCGTCAGTAACTTTTTTCCGACAGCCTTTTTTCTGACAAACGCGTTTGCGTCAGTTTCTCCATTTCTGATGCAATTTGCTCTATTACTGACACTTTTTTTGCGTCGGTAATGACACATTTGCTTGTAGTGAATTTTATTTCCTCCAAATTCTCTTTCTTTAAATTTATTTTTTACAAACTAACTTTTTATCAAATATGCCATATGAGTTTTGCTTTTAAGCTTTTTTTTTTTATATTTGTAAATTTTAGAAGGATAGGATCTAATGGTTAATGACACTTTTTTAATTGTTCTATTTGATGGGGTAAATTATACTTAGCACTTTTGCACTTTGGGTTTAGTTTTTCTTTATCCCTTTAAAATCGTAAAATTTTTACTGTCACAATTAAAATTGAGAAGTGACATAACTTATCTATAACGAACCGAGAATTATTGGCCTGAATAACTTTTTGAGATTAAATCATTAGTTCAAAATATTTAAATTCAAGTTGTTTTGTAGTAATTTTTAATCTCTTACATACTATATCATATTACTCTTATATATCGATGTGGAATGTAATATCACAATCTTCTCTACTTAAAACACTTAATGTTCTCATTAAGTCACAAATCCATATTTATATCAAAGAGAGCAAGTCCAATAGGACGGGATATCACAATTTTCTCCACTTAAATACTTAACGTTCTTATTAAGTCACAAATCTATATTTTTATTCAAACAGAACAAGTTCAAAGATCATCTTACTCTAATACTATTTGTAATGACCCAATAACTACTGACTTAAATAACTTGTTGAACTTGAACAATTGGTTCAAAATATTTAAACTGAAATTATTCAGTAGTAGTCTTGAGTATCTTAGATATCATATCATATCAGTTTCACAAATCGATGTAAAATGGATATCAAAAATATAAATATACTAGGAGCACTTTTCTAGATTTCTTTACCTGGAAATCAATGGTCAAGGCCGTATAACGCACGGAAGAATATATTCTAAGGTAAAGTGGCGAATTACATAGAGAAAATGGCGAAGATGGTCAACTTGAAATTAATAATTAAGTATGAAAGGAGATTATATTTACACTTGGAATTCCGGAACAACATGTTCCGGATATTTTTATATGCAAAAAAGTAAAATAAAATAAAAACTCTTATATTTTTGTGTCAATCAAGTTAATGTTTCTAGTCTTAGAGGCAGATCAAGATTGAATATTTTATAGTAAAATTATTACAGGGATGAATGAATCTGGTGAAAAGAAAATCTGTTTTATTTGAATACAAGATCTTTATAATATAGAGTTTGTATTCTGTCTTATTTTTCATTTAAATTTAAATTAAAACCAATTTCTGATTGTTGGGTCATGAAATGAAATTTGAAATAATAAAAATTTTATTCAATATATTCCAAAAAAAATTAACATGATAATTACTTATGAAAATGCATTGTCTAACAAATGTTGGCCAATTCAAGTAACTTAAAAAGGGGCCAATTTTATATTTTCTATAAAAATTTCCCTTTCAATTAATGTGAAATTTAAACTTTGCGAAAATATTCGAAACCAATCATATATTTTGGAACATCCATTTCTACATCATGCGTGCAAACATTGCCTTCGCTTTGTTGGCTAATATCATACATTCTACCTGTCCCCCTTGGTTTTATATAATTAAATTGTTTTCTGTGTATGCATGAGACAGTTTTAAATTTTTTAAAATTTAAAAATTAATTGAATCATTTTTATTATTCAAAAATCTAAAACTTAATTAAAAAAAATTATGTTCACACAAGTATTGATAAAAATAAACTCGTATTCAAACAAAAAATATATATAAAAAATTATTAGAGTTGGCAAATGTCAAATTTATAAGTTGATAAATGTCAAAAATTTTATGA